TCTCTCTCTCTCTCTCTCTTCCTTTCCTCTCTCTCTCTCTCTCTCTCTCTCTCTCTCTCTCTCTCTCTATCTATCTATCTATCTATCTCATTATCCATCTATACACAATTCCTTCTGGTATGACACAGCCCAAAGCAGAGACACAACTAGTTTCTACAGAATGTAAATGTATCCTGTGATCAGAAATGTAACCATATCGGGATCTGCTGTGTCTGTGTTGTACAGATGGGGGAATCTCTGTGAAAATCATTGCTATGTGATTGTAATAAAGATGTTTTTATGATACATTATTTCTATGGCTATAGTTTGATGCACCTTGTGCATGTCCTGTGGATGATACAACTCATAGGGGGTGATTTACTAACCTAAACACACACACACACCAGGTGCGTGTGATTTTCACACAGCAAAACGTATTTATCAACCAAAAAGTCTCTATAAGCATATTTCCACTAATGCCATATATGGAAAAATCATGCACATGATGCATATATAATGCTGCTTCCCAGTTTAGACAAAAATGGTTAGCTCATGCATTTACATTCCTGCATTCATCAACACAAGCAACACAACATAGAGCTAATTTACACAACATCACCTTGCAATTCATGCAGGGCTTTGCACAACACACCTGCTGGGTGTGTACACACTACAAAGGTGTCTAGATTCCACCCATAGATCATGCTGGGAGGGAACACACTACAGAGGTGTATACATGTTCATGGTGTGTTTATAAGGTTAGTAAATCAACCCCATTGAGTTGCCGAATGAATAACCGACCTGAAGTGAAGGGAGATAAATCCTCTTCGGCTATTCACAGCAACCCTGCGCAGCTATTTGTAACCATACATCGGCTGCATTCGGCTCACTTCACTTCGGTTTAGCTGAAGAGCCTCAACACGTTCAGCTTATTCGAAGGGCCTTCCCGTGTGCCCCCAGCCGATGCAACATCTGAATCTGCTGAGGCGAACGTTCAGCAGCGCGTTATCTGCTGTTCACCCCTATACTCAAAGCAGCCGATCAGCAGAGAGTGAATTGCCGACTGCTCAGATCGGCATTCGGCTCCGTCATTCAGTCGTTCTGTGAACAGAATAAAAAATGTAAAAAGCGTGGGGTTCTCCTCCCAAATCATACCAGACTCTTTAGGTCTGATAGGAATTTTAAGTGGGACCCCAACGCCAAAAAAAGAAAAAAAAAGAGGGGTCCCCCTTCAATATTCACATCAGACCCTTACTCCGAACATGCCTGGCAGGGCAGGAAAGGGGGGACGAGCCCCCCTTCCCTGCAAAATACCAGGCCACATGTCCTCTGCATTGGGAAGGTGCTTTTCCAAGGGTGACCCCGAAACCCGGAAAAGCACCTTGTCCCTATGCCGATGAGGACAAGGGCCTCTCCCCCACAACCCTGGCTTGGGGATTGTGGGGGTCTGCGGTCAGGGGGGCTCATCTGCAACTGGGTGCCCCCTTTCATAAAGGGTGCACTCAGATGCTGTTCCTCCCTTGTGAATGAGTAAAGGGTAGTTGTTACCCCTACTTATTAACCAGATAGGAAAGTAAATAGTAAATAGAAAGACAACACCTTGAAAAAGTCCTTTAATTGAACAAAAAACAAAAGACATTTATTGTTCAAAAAAAAAATGGTCCAAAGATGCAATCCATAGTCAATCAGGTTGAATGACGCCTGCCGAAATAAAAAATAAATGCCGCCGTCCTCCGACTGGACCCACCCGCCGCAAAATGACAGGCCCGGGCCAAATGCTAACAAATGGTCGGAGCGAGTTGTAATGTCACGGGACTCGCTCTGCCCATTTGGTTACATGCCATTTGAGGACACAGAGCAGAGGGGGCACCCAGATTCATATGAGCCCCCCTGCCCACAGACCCGCACACCCACTGGGCCATGGTTGTGGGGAAGAGACCCTTGTCCTCATTGGCATGGGGACAAGGTGCTTTCCCAGGGGGTTACCCCCTGGAAAGTCACCCTTGCAATGTCAAGGGCATGTGGCCTGGTATGGTGCAGGGAGGGGGGACCTCCCTTTCCCGCCCTGCTAGGCCACTGTTTAAGGGTCTGGTATGGGACTGGTATTAAGGGTCTGGTATGGGATTTTAGGGGAGAACCCAATTTTTTGGGGGTGTTGGGGTCCACCCTTAAAATTACTACCAGACCTAAAGGGTCTGGTATGACTTTGAGGGGAACCCCACGCTGTTTTTATATTCTATTTGTTAACAATTTTCAGGGATTCGGGCCTCTTTGGTGGACCAATCTCGCCACTCCGGCTGTATGTGTTCAGCATTGCCGAGCCGAGGAAAGTACGTTCAGCTTGGCTGAGCTCTTCAGCTGCCTTCAACTGTTGTACGCAGGGCAGCCATCAGGGGGGTACGGCCGATACTCATGTAATTGGCCCCGGCAGCCTGGGGGCCCACCCGGGTCCCTTACATGAGTATCGGCTGAGGGTAAAGAGCAAGGAGGCGGAGGCCTGGCCCTCACAGCGCAGGGCCCCAGCATTGCCGCTCCAGCGGCTTTGAGACAAGCTAGAGCCCCATCAGCTACACTGCTCGTCTGATGTCAGACTGGCCGGAAGTGATGTCACGTTAGTGACGTGACGTCACTTCTGGGCGGTCCGGCGGCAGACGAGGCCATGTGTGCAGGTATGAGGAGCTAGGAAGGAAGGAAGGAAAGGAGGGAGGGATGCAGCCCTGACCAGCCCACCTGAGACCCCTTCAGAGCCCACCATAGACAGTCTCAGATGGGCTGTGCATCATCTATGGTGGGCTCTGCAGGGTCACTCTCAGGTGGGTCCTGTGTCCAGCGCGTCACTAAACCCTTCGTCCAGCACGTCACTAAGCCCTGCGTCCAGCGGCGCGATGGAGGGGCCCGGCCTAAAGCCGTGTAAGGGGCCCCAAAATTTCTGATGGCTGCCCTGGTTGTACGTGCTATTGAGAATAGTGCATACAGCAGCCCTTTGGTTCACCTGAACCCAAGGGTTTCTACAGCCAAAGCGAGCCGAAGGATTAGCCAAATGTTTGGCTAAATGCTTCGGCTCGTTAGTAAATAACCCCCACAGTTTTCATAGTTTTGGGATGTGATGCTGCGATAATGCACCCGCCCAGCATGGTGAAAATGATACAAATCCTTTCCTCAATTTCTACTCCGCTACCAGTACAGGACCCAGTCTTAGCCCTTACTCCAGCATATGAGTGGTGGGAGGGGTTGGGTGGATGAGATTAAGAGTACCGGGGGGGGTCCTGAAGTCCTGGGCTATATGGGAGTAGCAAATGCAGAAAAAAAGTGAGCAGGAGGAAGAGGAAGATGGAATATTACCCTGCAGACTCTTTAAGACAATGAGTACCAATGGCCAGCAGGAATATTAAGTAGTCTGGGGAGCTATGTGGGCCAAGACACCCTAGTTCATGGCCTCTGTGGCCAAAAGAGAAATGTATCAATCTCCTTGTTTCATATTTATCTATCTATCTATCTATCTATCTATCTATCTATCTATCTATCCATCCATCCATCTATAATCTATCTATCTATCTATCTATCTATCTATCTATCTATCGTATTGAAAACAAAATGTTTTTCATTAGCATATTCAGGAGGGCAAAGAGGAACCAGAGAATGACAAATATAATGCAAAACAAGGAAGTTTCCCAGAACACTTACCAGCCAGCCTGCAACAAAACAAGTAACAATGTCTAACAGTATGCGTTAAAAATAGAGGTTTTAGTTACACATCTTGCTCAAACTATGTGGAAGCCACAATGGCTCGTCAAGGCTCCTCTGCGTAGTGTGGTCCTGACTCTAATCTATCCCATACTGTTATACTGTTAGACGGTGTCATTTGTTCTGTTGCAGGCTAGCTGGTAAGTGTGCTGGGAAATTTCCTTGTTTTGCACTGTTGTAAGCCCTTCCATGTGCACCTTGCCATTACGGCTAGTTATAAATTGTGCGGTTGCCATTTGTTTCTAACTTGGCTGTATTTGGTGTAGGGGACACACTGGGGGCACAGGTCCCTCTACCATTAAGGAGGAGTGGGCTCCCTCCAGGCAAACCCACATCCAATGTATCTGCTGCTGAAATATGCGCCAATAGAGAAGTTCTCATAGATTAGAGTTAGGACCGCAGAGGAGCCTGGACGAGGCAGTGTGGCTTCCACATACTGTATTTTGCGCAAGATGTGTAACTTAAACCTCTGTTTTGAATGCATACTGTTGGACTTTGTCATTTGTTTTGTTGCAGGCTAGCTGGTAAGTGTGCTGGGAAACTTCCTTGCTTTGCCATAACAAATATAAGATAAAACTTCAGCTGTAAATGAAGGCCCTAAAAAAATGTTCTTGCTCAGGGACCCTCTTGGAGACGTTGTCCCCTCAAAATCTTCATCTGCAGATTGCCCTCACAGATAGAAGTGTGTCAGTCTTCAAACCACCTCAGAGAGAAGATCAGGTGACTTCACTGAAGATTTTCTCCCCCCC